AAGATAAAGATAAAGATAAAGATAAAGATAAAGATAAAGATAAAGATGAGAATTAAGATTGAGATTAAGACTTAGATAATTTTTCAAATAACAAAACAACTATCAAATTTATACTAAAAAAGAGAATAAAAATAAAGCGGATGTGAAAAAAATTACAGGTAGATAATTATTTAGCAAACTTCTTCCTTTCTGGAACTTTTTCTATGAAGGTTCCCTTACTTGTACTTGTTACCGAATGTATCATAAACTAACATCCACCTTTGGTTGATGAAGTTAATCGAATAACGAACGAGTTCGGACACAAGTAACCAGTTCTTTAAGCACACAAGTTGTGAAGTGACTTATGCCACTTTCAAAATAAACAAGTATTTTGATTAGTTTAAACAAAAAAGTTCTATTTAAAAAAAAAAAATTTAACAAACGGAGCTAAATAAATTTCAAAACCCATACCTTTTTTAATTTTCTGCTCTTCGTCATCTTTACTCGATGTCTTCGGACAGCAAATCTACATACATATGTGCGTAGTAATTAAATTGAAAGTCAGTTTAATAAATTCAAAATTGAGGAAATAGAAGTATAACTCACTTGAGACTCTCCTGTTTCACATTCGCTTCGCCGTACGAATAACAATTCAGCCGCCGTTAATTGCTCTTTTTGAAAAAGGTAACTCAAGGCATTGCAATCATCTATGGCTATACACTCGCCTGCTAGTCCGTCTGGTGTTTGACATGTTGCAATATCGTGAACTATTGAAAATACATACATACACAACTTTTTTAGAAGCGAATCAGGGAAGAAATAAGATTCAGAGTTCTTTAAAATTTGTTTGCATTGCAAAAAATTTGTTTCTTCATAATATAATAAATGTCTATCCTCTATATCTATTTGAACAATATAGTGCCACCATCAGCGCAAAAGGCCCTATACCACAATTTTAAATTTGTACCTAAGAAGCCAGAAAACTTTTTACATTTTCCTAGATAATGTATGGCTCTTAATTTTGGTATATGAGCATATTTGATAGAAAACTAACAAAATATATAAACAAAAGTATTTCCGAAAAGATGATATAGGACATTTTGCATTGAAGGTGACGATTTGTATGTATGTATCTCAGTAGGTACGTACTTTCATCGAAGATTGCACGAACTTTTGGTTTTGGCGCAATGTCCAATGCCTTCAGTTTTGGACAACAAACCTGCGGATAAATTCGAAATAAGAAATCCATTACCTAATGTATCAACTTCTTGCTCCGCCCATTTATTTACTCACATATCTGCTATCGACTTCATTTCCGCATTTGCTGCCTCTCAAAAATGCTATTTCTGCTTGCGTTATATCCTTTTTCAAAGCCAGATTATACAAAAGCCGACATTCTTCTATGACTACACAATTACCTTCTTCTCCATTTGGTGTGTGACATAGTTGGGTAGCTACTTCATTTTGGGCTTCTGCACAGCAAACCTAAAAATTAAGAAAATTACCAAAAAATATTCTTAAGTGCTTTTAACTGTCAAAAATTCACTTAAGTAATTTTTACACACAAGTGGACTATTATTTGCGACTCCACATTGACTTCTGCGTAAAAAGTCTGCATTCTCTTCCGTTTGCGGATTCTTGGCAAGATTATAAAGGCTCTCGCAGGCAACAAGTAATTTGCAGCTTCCAATTGAGCCATTTGGGGTCTCACATTGCACAAAATCTAAAATATGTATCTGTACATTATAATTATCTTGTCTTTCAGTTAAAGTCATCTAAAAAAGACAAATCTGTTTGCCACAGACATAACCACTTCTATTGAAGTCCTTTCAATGACACTTATTCTCACCGCAATTAACTCTTACGAAGAGCAGATTTAGACAGCACAAACATGCTAATCCTACACTGGCTAGATTATCCATTTTTTACAGAAATTTTAGCGCTATACTTCCGCCGCTTTTAGTTCACTCTACGCTGCCTTTGAAAACTAACTGCTATGTGATTCCGACTTTATTTTTTAATTTGTAATATTTTTATTATTTCAAGCGCTGTGTTTATATTTCGCGCAACTGTTTCTTATCAATTAAAAGAAATTTATGAATAATGCGCAACTGTTCCTACTTATCGTTGAATTCATTGTATTGGAAAAATAACCAAGCCCCTTTGCTTGCTTGCACGCATGTATGTGCATTAGGGTGGTAAAAAAGTAAAGTCGGAATTTTAATGCTCTCACCCCCTAGGATTGTTCTACACCGAAAAACATTATACCCCTGTTTTTTTTAATCAAAAACTATTTGGAGGTCGCTTAAAGCGCTCAATGTACTTTATATGGGAAAAAGAGTTCTGAATATTTTTCGATGGAAAAACTTCCTTTCTCTTCAAGAGACTTCCAATAACAATACTCAATACGACCCCTAAAAACCTCTAATGGGTCCTCCATTGCATTTTTGGAGGTTTTCAGGGGTCCTATAAAAAATAGTTTATAATAGAAAATGGTTAAAAAAAACAATTGCGTTCAAAGTACACCATTTCTACGAAAACTTGATTTTTTCCCATATCAAATATGTACATGGAAAACCTTGATCGCATTGAGCGACCTCTAAATGTTTTTTTATTTGGAAATAAGAAAACAGTGGTAAAGCGTTAAAATTTCGACTTTGCTTTTACATGTATTTTTGGACCACCCTAATGTGCATACATACATACATATGTACCATAAGTAAATAGATGTATGTATGTATTTAGGTGGATGCCGCATTCAAATTGCTACTCAATTCCGGAAAAGTTTCTTTTTATTAGCTTTGAAGGAAAATACCAGTATTTAGATTAAAAATAAAATGCAAAAAAATGCATGTTGCTTATACCACATAGAACGGTGTTCTAATGCAACCTTCTGGAAAGTTTAGCCGTAAGCTCTAGAAGAAATTTTGTAACTAACTATTTACTGTTATTGTTCTTCTACTCCTTATTTGGCAGTATAATAATTTGTGGCCTCGGGCCAGAATCAGAAAGCTTCATCGAGTGGCTTTTTCCGATGTGCGCTTAAAGCAAATTCTGAAATTAATTTTTGATAACTCAAAAAGTGAACATAATTTTTTGTCGTTTAAAACTGGACATAATTTTCGGTCATATAAAAACTGGTCATCATTTTCGGTCACATAAAAATGGGTATACATTTTTTGGTCATAGAAAAAGAGGACCTTAATTTTTGCTTATTTAAAAACAAGACAAACATTTTTGGTCATAGAAAAACAGAACATAACTTTCTGAAATTTTAGAAACTTGACATAATTTGGTCATACCAAAACTGAATCGCTTTATGAAAACGATTTTTTTGTTACTTAAAAATTGGGCATAATTTTTCTCTGGCTTAAAAATTTTACATTAAATACAAAATAAAAAAAGACATAAATTTTTGTTATTAAAAAGCGGGGCATAAATTTCTGATATTTTAAAAACTGGACATAAATGTTTGGTTATTTTTTAATTTAACAAAATAAAAACAAGACATAAATTTTTGTCATGAAAAAACAGGCAATACATTTCTGGCATTTTAAAACCTGGACACAAACTTTTGGTTATGTCAAAACTGAAGAAAAATGTTTGGTCGCTTTATAAAAGCTATTCGTATTTTACTCATTAAAGCCCTTCCTACACTTCTCAGCTCGCAAGACTCACATTTTTGGCAAAATGGTCCCATTCCAACAGAATTTTCTCTGAGCCTCCGCTTTGACGCCGCTTTCTCTACTTGCTATAGGCATCCACTTTATCGAAAGTACTGCTACGTTATCAAAGCAATTTTATGCACTGTATGCGGATACATTTTATTAATACGAAAAAACCGTAGTAGACTAAGAGATACAGAAGCAGATAACTTGTAAATATTGTACAAATAATAAAAATATATATATATTCAAAAACTATTTCGCAATAGTCTCCTCGATCCACTGCAGATAAGCTCCAACACGTGTATAAATGCCACGCGTCCTCGTATGTCCACAATTGCTAGTGCCAAACGAAACCAAACCAATCAAATGATAAGCCACTTTGCCATTCTGTGTCTCCAGTAGCATAAGTGGCCCACCAGAATCACCATGACAGGAGTCGGCACCAATTCCAGCCGCGCATATTTGCTTATCACCAATTGTTATTCGACTACGCAAGTTATTTAAACCACACTGAGTGGCAGTCATAACTGTGACAATTGTTTTTAATTTTATTTCACTATGTGCGCTCCTTTCAGTTGCTCCCCAACCGACAATTTCCGCTGCGGCACCTTCATATCTCGCCGCTTGCTGACTCGCCGTCAAAGGTAGGCATATGGGGCTTATAAAATCTGTATAATCCACGCTTTCTGCTAGACGCAACAAAGCTATATCATTTACTTTAGAACCGCTGTTGTATTGCGGATGAATTGTTGTTGTCTGCACATCGATATCACGATGCGCTGGCGCACAAAATGTATTGCCATTATTGTCATATTCACAGTCCGGCGTCGTTCTGGTATTCCATTCACCCAAACGCACACCAGTGAGATGCCAATCTTTCGGCAGATCACGTTCGGCTATACAATGGGCTGCGGTGAGTATGAAATTTGTGTTAATGAGAGAACCGCCGCATAGAAAAGCTAAGTCGTCATCGCCTGCAAAGTTATAGTTAATGAGTTTGGAGATGTATTTCTTTTTTTAAAGTTTAGCAGTGCCTACTATTGGTATAAAGCAGCAGTGCTGTCCAGGGATATTCGTCGATACTGGTTTCATTACCACCAAATATACGATTTCCTATATTAGCTCTGCCACACGCTGGTGGGGATGGTAAGCCCATTTGATTTGCCGGTGCAACGGTGTAGTTTTTCTGAAAATTGTATATTGTTAGAAAGTCGCCGAATTTTTTTTTCTAAAATTTAACTAAATATGTAACTAACTAGATTTCTGTTCACCAAACATCTGTTATAAAAAATTTACACAGGTTCTGTTTGTGCGCTGGGTATGGGACCTGCCACTTAAAATTAACTCCTAATGTAAACTAAGAAAAAGCTTCGGATTAGACCCCCTTATTTTCGAAACGATCACGGTGAATGCTTTAAGGACTATCATCTGCAATATCTGGACCCTTAATGAGGAAGGTGTCTCTGCTCGGCCATCTAAGAATTGCTTTTGACGTGGCAAGGCAAGAAAATCCATGGGAACCTGCAACGTCTACTCTAGCTGCCATGCAAAGGAACGCAAATTGGGTGTTGTATCTGTGACGGGAAAGATACTTTATCGCCAAGTAGTGTCATTCAATCCGGTCAGCGAGGTTGTCACAACAACCAGCATCAAAGCGAGGTTCTTCAACATCTTCCAAAGCTACTTTTTTATGAGATCTAAAAGCATCCGCGGCACGTTGACAATTTTGATGCCAGGGTGGGAAAGGCGAGATCTTTGGTCCTACTTTCAGAAAATTCGGTTTCCACCACGCAACGTCCGACAGCAGATTTATACTGATTGACTTGGCCGTGGTAGCCTATAGCACTAGGTTTCAGTATAAAAGAACTAAAGGTGGCTCCAAATCAAAAGACGGCAAACGAAGTAGACCATGTTGTGATAGACGGAAGGCACGTTTTCAGTATTCTAGACGTACGTGTGATTTAAACGCTAAACAGCGATTAGGGCCACTATCTTTTTACAGCTATGACACGCACATGTCTTTATTCACCACAAAATGTTCTACAGAGAGTACAAGAAAGTCCCGATGTGGAATAGCTGCGATCACAACCAGCATATTCACCAGCCCTCACTGCTCGCAGAGAGCGCTCTTCAACAAACTAACATATGTATGTGAATAAGGATCCACACTTCCTACCTGAAGAGTCATGTTGCGATCCGGCGAAAATCAAGCTATGTAAGACCGATATAGAAGAGAGACGCAAGACGTATTTTCTGTAATAAAAAGAGATATAGGTCGAAATCCCTGAGTGCTAAGAGCTAGAAATGCTGGCCCATAGAAAATTTTATCACAAAATTAGGCGACTTACGGAAGCTTTCAAGACCAGAGAAAAATTCTGTCAGATCAACCACGAGAACCAAGTGACCCATAACATTATGGACGGAACATTTTGCAAATCGATAATGACGGAGTCAATATACCATCGCCCGACAAAACTATAACATCCGATTGGAATACAACCAATCCCCAGAGATATATGCCAACCACCTCGGGTTCAACCTTCTGAACTGAACCGCCAAGTCTGCAAGGAACATTCGCGATAGAAGGATCAACACACAACGTCATCGACAAAGGGACGATATCGACAGTACGAAAATAATATGCCTATCTGCCGCGATTCGTGAATTTCGGATCCACGCAAAACCAGTGCGGCTTCCTCAAGCGCCATTCGATGCCAAACGGCTCAATCGGCCTCAAATCACTTAAACAATTACAGCGCTAAAAAAGAAGAGGAAGAATTAGACTTCAAAACTACGGGGATTTTTAACCAAAGTAATGTGCTAGAAATTTAAAATTATGATGAGGTGTTGTGAGGGGACTAGTTACATCAGAAATATTGAAAAGCTTTATTGCAATAGTTATAAACGATCCGTACCTTATCAATGATATTTTCTGTGACAATTTCATTCTGTCCCTCCTCTGTAGAATTGGTGATTGCATAATTAGGAGACATACTCCCCGCTTCCATTGTTACGCCTTCGAAACTATCATCAGCTTTTGATAGGGGACAGCACACCTGGCGGCAGAATAGGTCAGTTATTAAAAATAAATCAACTTTTTAATAGTTGAGTCATTCACCAAAACATTTCTTTTAGCATATCCGCATTTACTGTGTATTAAAAAA